ACGTTAAAACGAAGCAATATAATTTAACCAAATTCACCCAAAATATTCATTATTATCCGGTACAGTTTGGTATTGAAAATGAGCAATATCGGTTCACATCGGGAAAAGTTATGAATCGAAATTTAAAACAACCTCGAAAAAAATAAGCATTTTTTCACATTCTAATGTAATTTTCTCCAAAACTATGCAAGATAATTCCATGAAAATCACCACACATTCGTTTCTACACAAGATCTTGATCCGTGCAGAAAATTGCCAGAATCGGTCCACAATTTCATATACCTCCCATACAAAAGTACATATTCCCGGAAAATGGGTTTTTCGTTAATAACTTCCATCACAATGTCTATATCTTCACAAAATTTTGGAAATTAAAATCTTATGTCAATAGAATTCTTTCAGAGAAAAATTTTCTGGATCGGTCCATAATTGGACATAGCTCCCATACAAGGTCCCCTCCCGAAAATCACTTAAACGCGCATAACGCATTACTAAATTAAGATATCCATATAAAATTTGGTATAAGTATTGCCCATATGCATAGAAATATTACTGTGAAAATTTTTTCCGATCGGTTCAAAATTGGTCATAGCTCCCATACAAGGTCCCCTCCCGAAAATCACTTAAACGCGCATAACTCATTACTAAATTAAGATATCCATACAAAATTTGGTATAAGTATTACCCATATGCATAGAAATATTACTGTGAAAGTGTTTTCCGATCGGTCCATAATTGGTCATAGCTCCCATACAAGGTCCCCTCCCGAAAATCACATAAACGCGCATAACTCATTACTAAATTAAGATATCCATATAAAATTTGGTATAAGTATTGCCCATATGTACCGAAATATTACTGTGAAAGTTTTTTCCGATCGGTCCATAATTGGTCATAGCTCCCATACAAGGTCCCCTCCCGAAAATCACATAAACGCGCATAACTCATTACTAAATTAAGATATCCATATAAAATTTGGTATAAGTATTGCCCATATGCATAGAAATATTACTGTGAAAGTTTTTTCCGATCGGTCCAAAATTGGTCATAGCTCCCATACAAGGTCCCCTCCCGAAAATCACTTAAACGCGCATAACTCATTACTAAATTAAGATATCCATATAAAATTTGGTATAAGTATTGCCCATATGCATAGAAATATTACTGTGAAATTTTTTCCGATCGGTTCAAAATTGGTCATAGCTCCCATACAAGGTCCCCTCCCGAAAATCACTTAAACGCGCATAACTCATTACTAAATTAAAATATCCATACAAGATTTGGTATAAGTATTGCCCATATGCATAGAAATATTACTGTGAAAGTGTTTTCCGATCGGTCCATAATTGGTCATAAACGCGCATAACTCATTACTAAATTAAGATATCCATATAAAATTTGGTATAAGTATTGCCCATATGCACAGAAATATTACAGAGAAATTTTTTTCCGATCGGTCTATAACTGATCATAGCTCCCATACAAGGTCCCCTCCCGAAAATCACATAAACGCGCATAACTCATTACTAAATTAAGATATCCATATAAAATTTGGTATAAGTATTGCCCATATGCATAGAAATATTACTGTGAAAGTTTTTTCTGATCGGTCCAAAATTGGTCATAGCTCCCATACAAGGTCCCATCCCGAAAATCACTTAAACGCGCATAAATCATTACTTAATTAAGATATCCATATAAAATTTGGTATAAAAATTGCCCACATGCATAGAAATATTACTGTGAAAATTGTTTTGGATCGGTTCAAAATTGGTCATAGCTCCCATACAAGGTCCCCTCCCGAAAATCACTTAAACGCGCATAAATCATTACTAAATTAAGATATCCATATAAAATTTGGTACAAGTATTGCACATATGCGCGGAAATATTACTGTGAAAGTTTTTTCCGATCGGTCCATAATTGGTCATAGCTCCCATACAAGGTCCCCTCCCGAGAATCACTTAAACGCTCATAACTCATTACTAACTATAAAGTTTGGCAGAAGTATTGCTCATATACAGAGAAATATTACTGTGAAATTGTTTTCCTATCGGTCCATAATTGATCATAGCTGCTATACAAGGTGCCTTTCAGAAAACACTTAAAGGCACATAACTCACTAGGAAATAGTGATACCCATAAAATATTTGGCATTAATACTATTTTTGTACACATAAATATTATTTCAAAATTTTTTCACGATTAGTCCAACCTTGGTCATAGCTCCCATATAAGGTTTCCTCCCGAAAATCACTTAAACGCACATAATTCATTACCAAATATTGATATCATACATTTAGCAAAATTATTGCTCTTATATACATAAATTACACTATAAAATTGTTTTACGATCGGTCCATATTTGGTCATAGCTCTCATACTAGGTCCCCTCCAGAAAATCACTTAAATGCACAATATTCATTACCAAATAATGATATAGATACAGAATTTTGAAATTTTGTTTTTATACCCTCCACCACCATCAGTGGTGATAGAGGGTATATATAAGTTTGTCGTTCCGTGTGTAACACCAAGAAATATTCATCTAAGACCCAACAAAGTATATATATTCTGGGTCCTTATCAAATTCTGAGTCGATTTAGCTATGTCCGTCTGTCCGTCTGTCCGTCTGACCGTCTGTCTGTCTGTCTGTCTGTCTGTCTGTCTGTGTAAAACACGCTCACGTTAAAACTAAGAAAAGGAAATAAACCAAATTCACCCAAAATATTTATTATTATCCTAAGCAGTTTGGTATTGAAAATCAGCAAAATCGGTTCACAACGTAAAAAGTTATGAGTAAAAATTTCAGACTACCTCGAAAAAAATTACGTTTTTTTCATAATTCTTTTGAAGTTTTCTCAGAAACTACCAAAGATATTTCGACGAATTTTGTCATACATTATTTTTTCGGAGTAGTGATCAATTATGTTCAAAATCTTTACAATCGGTCCAATATTTCTCATAGCCCCCATACAAAGGTATATATTCCCGGAAATTAGTTTATCGTTAATAACTCCCTCAAATATAACGGTATCAACACGAAATTTTGTACATGTAAATATAATATGAACAGAAATCATACTGTCGACGTAGATCTCAGTCGGTCTACAATTGGTGTTAGCTCCCATATAAGGTCCTATTCCGAAAATCACATAAACGCACATATTTCATTGATGAATAAAGCTATTGTGATAAAATTCGAGTTGGATATGTTTTGTGTACATACAAATCATTCTACCAAATTTTTTCCGGATCGGTCCATTATTGGTCATAGCTCCCATATAAAGCCCACTTCCGAAAATCAGTTAAAAGCTCATATTTCATTGTCAACTAAAGCTATTTTGATGAAATTCGACACAAATATGTTTAGTCGAAATACAAATCATTCTACAAAATTTTTTACGGATCGGTCCATAATTGGTCATAGATCCCATATAAGGCCCACTTCCGAAAATCACTTAAAAGCACATATTTCAATGCCAAGTAAAGCTATATTGACAAAATTCTACACAAATATGTTTTGCGTAAATATGAATAACTCTACGAAATTTTTTCCGGATAGGCCTATAATTGGTCATAGCTCCCATATAAGGTCCACTTCCGAAAATCACTTAAACGCATATATTTCATTGAATTCTAAAGCTATTGGGATAATATTCGACTGGAATATGTTTTGTGTACGTACAAATCATTTTATAAATTTTTTACCTGTCGGTCCATTATTGGTCATAACTCCCATATAAGGTCCACTTACGAAAATCACTTAAAAGCACATATTTCATTATCAAATAAAGCTATCTTGATAAAATTCGACACAAACATGTTTTGTCCAAATATGAATCACTCTGCGAAATATTTCCCGAATAGGCCCATAATTGGTCATAGTTCCCATATAAGGTCCACTTCTGAAAATCACTTAAACGCATATAATTCATTGAATTCTAAAGCTATAGGGGTAAAATTCGACTTGAATAAGTTTTGTGTACATATGAATCATTCTACCACTTTTTTCTCGGATCGGTCCATTATTGGTCATAGCTTCTATATAAGGTCCACTTCTGAGAGTCACTTAAACACACATATTTCATTGTCAAATAAAGTTAATTTGAGAAAATTCGACACAAATATATTTTGTCTTTACATAAATCACTCTACGAAATTTTTTGCGGATAGGCATATAAAACATTGTACCAAATTTTTTCTGGATCGGTCCATATTTGGTAATAGGTCCACTTCAAAAAATCCCTTAAACGCACATATTTAATTATCAAATAAAGATATCTTGATAAAATATGATTTGTGCACATATGAATCACTCTGCGAAATTTTTCCGGATAGGCCCTTAATTGCTCATAGCTCCTATATATTGTGCACTTCCTAAAGTCACCTAATAAAGCTATTGGAGTAAAATTAGACCTGATCTTTGTCTGCATATAAATCATTATACGAAATTGTTTCCTGATCAGTCCATTATTGGTCACAACTCCCATATTCTGTGTATAGATACATCATTCTATTAAAATGTTTTCAAACTGGCGTATTAATATACATTTTTCTGGACCTAATCAAAATTAGTTCGGCAAGTTATCTAAAAATTAGATAGTTAGATGGGTTTCAATAAAAAGTAGTTTGCTGGTGGAGGGTATTTAAGATTCGGCATAGCCGAATATAGCACTCTAACTTGTTTTATATATAATTCGTCATAGCTCTCATACGAAAATCTCTTAAACGCACATTACTCATTACCAAATAAAGCTATTGATACAAAATTTGCCACAAATATTAGTTTTGTATACAAAAATTCTATTTCAAGAATTCTCTGTTTATATCTTGGGATTTTTTCAATTTAAGACATGAGATAACTTATTTCTACAAATATTTGACCAATTAGAAAAGTCTTAATATAAAAGTAGCTGGTGGAGGGTATTTAAGATTCGGCTCAGCCAAATTTAGCACTCTAACTTGTTTTATTACTCAATTCACATTTTAAAACTTACCGTTTTCACTTAGTTTTGTTATTTTCTGCATATGGCGACAAAACATTTCGTATTCACCTGCTGGTGTTGCAATGGCTATAGAATTTGTTGGTGGCTGTAAGGCTGGCATAGCTGTTGCTGTTGATGCGGATGATGTTGTGACTGGTGTTGGTGACGATGCTACGGCTGCTGTTGGTGCATCTGTTGTTTTAACAGATTGCATGTGTTTGGTAAAAGCTCCCACTATGGCTGCCATGCGATCAAAAGCATTAATATTTATGTGACCATTTGGTAAACTGCAAAAAAATAATAATAAAAATAAATTGAGAACAAAATAGTCTGTCTAAGGTTTCTTTTTGTACCATTTTATACTCCATTTTAAATGTTTAAAGTATTGTAGAATACAAAATAAGTACTACTTAACTTTAATTTGAAAACAATTTCAATTTCTTTAATAATATATTCTTAATTATATTAATTAAGGACTTTCTTAAACAATACTAGTTTAATTCTAGGTATTACTTTTATAGAAAAAAAATCGCTGTATGATTATGTAAAATAGTGTTTTTTTTATAACAAAATAAAGCTTTCATAATAAACACTTAAATTATATGAATGTAGCCACAAGGATATTATTTTATATTATATATAAATATCCTTTAGAAGGATGTAGCAACAATAATTCTTACCATCAAGTATAACTCTCCCATTTTACTCGTTTTGATGGTAAATAAATATTATGACTGCAAGGTGTTCTTTTGTTATGGATTATAATAAAAAACTGTTACTACTCGTAAATGAAGAGAAAAAGAAAATAAACAAGTAAAGAATGATATCAAAACAAGAGCTGAAGTGTTATTAATGGCACTATAGAAAATAAAATACCTTTTAACCACAAAAAATTCCGGGAAAATATAGGATCAACTTCCAAAATTTACTTAGATGTACATAACTAACAATATTTCTATTTTTTTATTATTATTAGCGTGATAGTCAATAAAATACGCAAGTAAAATGGCAAAACTCAAAATCTGATTATATGTAAGTCATTATAAAAATACTTAAAAGTTATGCAGACGGTAAGTAGTAGTAATTGAAAAATAAGTCGTTATGTATGTAAGTACATGTTTTTGCTGGGATAACAGAGATTTTTTGGTTACTATTAGTAAAACTTTGAAAGACAATATTGATGCTGCCTGGAAGCTAAAAAGTGGATAAATCATGAAAACTCCACTACTAGCAAGGTCGACACTAAAGCCAAGTATTCATGGCGCTAATTTAATGACATTTGTTATGATCTACTGAAATCCAATTAATTCTTTTGAAACATTGAACGGTGGTATATTTTGGCCAGAAATCTATAACTTCTTTATTTCTTTAAATAAACATCTGAAATTTTTCACAAATATTTCTTATAGATAAGGTTTGTTTGGTACTGACAAAGGGCAATATCGCTTGAAGATTTCGCCTTAAATACATTAAATTTGAAGCAATTTCCCAGAAATTTAGCACAAGTCAGTTTTATACACCCAGAAATTTTATGGTATAGTATGGCGGACATCGGGTCATATTAGACCCTAGTCCCCGTCTAAGGTTCTTAAATGCTGATAAATAAGTTACAAATACTAGTAAAGCAATGAAATTTGACACAAAATATTTTTATAGGAACCTAAATCTCCCGATCAAATTTTCTGACAATCGGTCCATAATTGACCCTACCTACCATATAAGGTCCCCTTCGGATAATTATTTTAACACTCTTTACTGGCTTAAAAGTATTTGTATAGCAATGAAATTCGATACAAACTAGTTTTATAGGAACTTAAATTTCACACTAAAACTTTATGAGAATTGGCCTATAATTGACCCTACCTCCCATATTAGGTTCCCTTCAAAAAAATAATTTAACACTCCCTAAAATTACAACAAGCTTAGTTTACGGTACCATAAAATATCATGTGCCAAATTTCATTGAATTATCTCCAAAATTGCGACTTGTAGTTTGATTACAAGGTTTACAAGCCCTCGGCTTCGTCCCTGGGACAATAGAAGATCAGGTACCTAATTTCATTGCATTATCTTCAAAATTGCGACCTGTTTACATGGACGATGGACAGTCAGACGAACGGACAGACGGACAGACAGACGGACAGACGGACGGACAGACAGACAGACAGACAGACAGACAGACAGACAGACAGACAGACGGACGGACGGACGGACAGACGGACGGACATAGCTAAATCGACTCAGAAAATGATTCTGAGCCGATTGGTATACTTTACGGTGGGGACCAATATTATTGTGCGTTGCAAACATCAGCACAAACACAATATACCCTCCCCACTGTAGTGGTGTAGGGTATAAATATCTGTGTCGCAATAAAATTCGATACAAACATGTTTTATACGAACATAAATATGTTGATACAAAGTTTATGAGAATTTGTCCATAATTGACCCTATCCCATATATAATTCAATTAAGAAAAAGACTTTAAATGAGTGATAAATTTCAGCATATACATAAATAACAACATAAACAAGTTTTATAGGCATTAAAATTCTTCTGTCAAATTTTATATAGTTCAGTCCATAATTGGCCGGAAAATTTTCGGAATATGCGCTATAAGTAAAACTTGTTTGCATGGAATTTTCTCGCTATTCCGACGTTACCAAAATTTTAAAAAAGTTGAACCGAAACTTGAATTTAGAATCTATACATCACAACAGGTTTTGCAGATGCCGTTTAATGAAATTGGAATAGACCCAGTTCTGGTCATATTTGCGGCGTGATTTGAACAGAAAGGCTTGAACCTTGTAAGGACTCTGAATATACATATACAACTTTTGTGGTTCTTAGATTAATGTTTTGATGTTATGATATTTTCAAAAATATAATATATGGTCAATAAATTTTAATCAAAATTTCCGATGCAGTTTTTCAATACCAACTCAAAATACATGTCCGTCCATCTGTCCATGAATTTTTTTTTATCAAACTTAAATATTTGATGAGCGTGTGGTTTTTTTATAGCCCCCATACAACAGTCCTCTCGGAACTAAAAAAAGAAATTTGAAAAAAGCTAGCTCTAAATAAAAAGTAATTATTTCTAGATACCTATTCCAAACTTATTGCACTTGCTTCATTGTATTGATGTAGGGTAAAAAATACTACTACTTAATGAGAAAATATTTATTACACAAGTACATATGAATAATTTTTACTACATCTCATTTTACTTGTGCATAAAAAAGTCACGTGCTTTTAAATTTATAGTTATAATAAACCAAGTTTATTTTTATAGAATTGTAATAAATCTTTAATTCAGAAAATAAGTATGAGAGTATAATTTTTGAAATCACGAACATAATTTGAAAAAAAGTCATTCCACAAGTGAATCTTAAATATTCCTGAAATCAAGTTGAAAGTGAACTAAGTATTTATAAGATTTTGGTAGTTGATCCTCAATGGAATGGAGTGTTTAATGAAAAATCTATCTGATATGCGAAGAAATTCAAACAAATTGATTCGCTTTAATATTCGCAGCTATTCGGATTTGATTTTCTTAAGTAAACAAAACTTTGTAAATTATCTGTAATCAAAAGAAATAACAGAATGTTTTCCTAGACAAATATTGTAGAATTCATTCTAAAGTCTTCTTAGACGGTTATTGATTGTGATCACAGAGGTATTTATAGTCATTAAAAAACAATAATGCAAGTAGCATTTTTTTGTATTCAATCCTATAATAGAAATTCCCATATCAACTATTGCATAAAAAACTATAAATAAAATTGACCTCAATTTATAGCACACTGACCAGAAGTGAACACATATGTATATGTAACTATTGTATCTACTTACAACAGACTATCTTTCGATGGTATGTTAAATTTATATTGCTGATAGTTGGCTTCTTAGGAGTTTTTTATGTTATTTTTCTAGGAGTTTTTTATGTTATTTTTCTTACTTGTAAACAGAATGAACAATGTATCTATTCAAACTCTTCGGTTCTTTTAGTTGCTCTATTTTTATTATTATTATACCCTCCACCACCATCAGTGGTGATAGAGGGTATATATAACTTTGTCATTCCGTGTGTAACATCAAGAAATATTCATCTGAGACCCAACAAAGTATATATATTCTGGGTCCTTATCAAATTCTGAGTCGATTTAGCTATGTCCGTCTGTCCGTCTGTCTGTGTAAAACACGCTCACGATAAAACGAAGCAATAGAGCTTAACCAAATTCACCCAAAATGTTCTTCATTTTCCTAAGTTGTTTGGTATTGCAAATGGGCAAAATCGGTTCACACCGGGAAAAGTTATGAATCAAAATTTAAAACAACCTCGGAAAAAAATAAGCATTTTTTACACATTCTGATGTAGTTTTCTCGAAAACTATGCAAGATAATTCCATGGAAATCACCATACATTCGTTTCTGCACAAGATCTTAATCCCTGTTGAAAATTGCCAGAATCGGTCTACAATTTCATATACCTCCCATACAAAAGTACATATTCCCGGAAAATGGGTTTTTTGTTAATAACTTCCGCCACAATATCGATATCTTCACAAAATTTTACAAAATAAAATCTTGTGTCAATAGAATTCTTTCAGAGGCAAAATTTTATGGATCGGTCCATAATTGGACATAGCTCCCATACAAGGTCCCCTCCCGAAAATCACTTAAACGCGCATAACTCATTACTAAATTAATATATCCAAATAAAATTTGGTACAAGTATTGCCCATATGCATAGAAATATTACTGTGAAATTTTTTTCCGATCGGTCCATAATTGGTAATAGCTCCCATACAAGGTCCCCTCCCGAGAATCACTTAAACGCGCTTAACTCATAACTAAATTAAGATATCCATATAAAATTTGGTACAAATATTACTCATATGCACAGAAATATTGTTGTGAAATTTTTTTCCGATCGGTCCATAATTGATCATAGCTCCCATACAAGGTCCCCTCCCGAAAATCACTTAAACGCGCATAACTCATTACTAAATTAAGATATCCAAATAAAATTTGGTTTAAGTATTGCCCATATGCATAGAAATATTACTGTGAAATTTTTTTCCGATCGGTCCATAATTGGTCATAGCTCCCATACAAGGTCCCCTCCCGAAAATCACTTAAACGCGCATAACTCAGTACTAAATTAAGATATCCATATAAAATTTGGTATAAGTATTGCCCATATGCATAGAAATATTACTGTGAAATTTTTTTCCGATCGGTCCATAATTGGACATAGCTCCCATACAAGGTCCCCTCCC